GGTTTTGGCGCGAATAGACGGGATACATCCCCGGTCAGCGATTGGCTTAGAGCTGTCATAAATTGAATCCTGGAAGGAAAGTCTGGTTGCCTTGCCTCAGATGAAGGCGCTTTAGCAGCGCCGAAACATGTGTTAGGTAGCTTAGGTTTTTTAACAGACAGGTAGTTAGTATATTATCCGATCGATTTCCTTTTGATTATTTTCATTATTCATTATCTTCTTTTTATTTTATTGTGAGTAATTGGGGTGTGCTATTGGACGCAATGGGGATTCCTATAAGGGGTGGTGGAGTTTTGGCCTGATGGATTGTGCTAAGGGTTTTTCCTCTTGTTATAGAGAAACTCTCCCCCCCCCCCCCTATCTTGGTTTCTCCTATACAGCATTGGGCAATTTCTGACTTAGACAGCCCATGCTTGTGTTTCGAGCGAGAGACATACTTTGTAACATTATTAGTACAAATACCAGATTATAGTATTTTGTATCCATTTGTTGCTTTCATAGTGACTTAGCATTACAAGTATGTTATTTTACCGCTAATATAGTCCTTTGAAGTGGAGATTTTTTGTATCCACTAGTTGCCACAATATTACCTTAGATACACAAGCAGGTAATTCAAATACTCACACAGAACTATTAGTCGATATACTCATACACCTGTCTTTTTACTTTTATTTTTGTTTTCACATTTTATTTCTGCAATCAATAAAGGTTATATTTTAATACACATATATTTATATGGTGGATAGAGGGACTTCCTACCAGCTATTCCAGAGACATTGTTTCTGGAATCCCTTTTCTTTTTGTTTGTAACACGTTTCAGTGAGGGTTACCCCCTAGAAGGCTGTCCCTGACACACATTAATACTAGTTTCCCATCGGGGTACTAGTTTTTTCTTGTTTTTATGCATTTCTGTCAGTGAGTGTGCATGTGTGTCTGTCGGTGAATGCGTGTCTGTCAGTGAATGTGAGTGAGCGTAACTGTGAATGAGTGAGTGCGTATGTCTGTGAATGTGTATGTTTCGGTGAAAGTGTGTGTTGGTTAAACAGTGTGTGTGACAATGATTGTATCTGTAAGTGAGTGTATGTCAGTGCATGCATCAGTGAGGGCATGTGTCTGTCAAGAAGAGAAATTTGGATGGGGGGAGGGGCTGTCCTGTTATGCCTAGGGCAGCACAAAACCAGAATTCACCACTGGTCGTGAGGACTGGTTTTTAGAACCACTGCTCTAAAGCAGTGGTTCCCAAACCAGCCCTCAAGTACCCCCTAACAGTCCAGGATTTAGGGATTACCCTGCTGGGTCTAAAGTGTTTTTTTTTTTTCTTCTTTTTCTAAAGACACCTGTAACGGATCACCTGGCACCCCGACTAGGTACCTCCGTTGAAGGATGCTCCTAGTGCTTCCTGAGGGCTCCAAGCACTCCAGCCGACACCATAACCACTGTAGACTCCTTCAGAGAGCAAGACAGGAACAAGCTCTTACAAGAGCTTAGTAGTGATATAGCAAGGGAGTATGACAAGCATAGCAATCCCTTGTAGCAGATTCCCCCAATAAGAGACGGCACTCCAAATTGAGGGTGAAGTAGAACTGAAGCTTTTAATCCAACACTCTGCTTTTATGCCCATTTTACAAACATAGTACTGCCCACAGGGTTTTGAAGAACAACCAATCAATACATTGCAACACAACTAAACACTCCCATTCGTACCAGCAGAAATCCTCCCCTCTGCCTGTGATACAATTATCTCATCACAATAGACTAACTTAATTATCACAGGCAGGAAAATACAGTTTTGCACAATATTCATAACTCCAAATGTATACGTCACATTCACTTACATTTTCAAAATCAGCATACTCAAAATATACTCAAAAATCGGACAATTCCTTCCATTGGTTTAAAAGTTAGGTCGAAGTCCTTTGTGACCACTGAAGCATGGCTTTCCAGCCAAAACCAGTTCCACAGAATCCTCTATACTGGAGATAATTGGCTTAACTGGGTGTGGTAAACCAACTATCTCCAGGTACAGAAAATGTCTCTGTTCACAACAACAGCAAAAATAAACAAAAATACATAATTCCTATTATACTGAACAGAACCCCCACATTCAACCTATTCCCAGATGGCTTGGATCTGAGCACTCAATATATCCAAACAGCGCTCAAATCCTACAAACACAGTCAAATCGCCATGGGGTTTAAGTCTAGCATGGGTTGATGAGAGGGTCCATAGTCACAGGGCAGGAGGCTGGCAATCAGTCTTCTCCAATGCCCAGTGGCAAGGCTGGTTCCGCCACAACACCTCAAACACGACTGGGGAATCCCTAAATCCTGGACTGTTAGGGGGTACTTGAGGACTGGTTTGGGAACCACTGCTTTAGAGCAGTGGTTCCAAAAGCCAGTCCTCACGACCAGGGCCGGACTGGGAAAAAAATTCGGCCCGGGCATTTTTCAATCAGAGCGGCCCCCGAAGTAGGGGGCGGGGCTAGAGACAAACACGCCCCCTCTCAAAGTGAGCATGTTGGTTCAATGCGCAGAGCCCTGCTAAAGAGCTCTAGCATTAGAAAAACGCCCTGTATTTGTTCTGCGCAGCGCAAGCAAATTTAATAACATGCTTGCACTGTGTTTGCTTTTAAATTGTCTCTGGTGTCTCCACAAGTGGGATACCAGAGGACAAAAGGGCCAGGAAAGCGTATGGTGCATGTGTTTGGAGCCTGCTTGTGGGATTGCGTGTGTGTAGAGTGTGGTGTGGTTTTGTGTAAATAGGTCAATTTCATTTGTGTTTGTGGTGTAATATGTGTGGCTAGATGCAGTGTGTGTGTAGGAGATCTAGTGTGTAAAGGACTCAGAGTGTGTATAGGAGATTGCATGTGTGTGTGTTTGTGTGTAGAGGATTAAGAGTGCATATAGGGTAAGGGATCTAGCGTGTATCTGGAGCATAATGTGTGTAGTGTGAGGGGTGCTGTAGTGTGTATATATATATTTATATTTGGACGTATTGTATGTGTGAGGGGCGCAGTGTGTGTGTGTGTGTGTGTAAGAGGGGTGCTGTGTGTGAATGTGTTTTTATCTGCCGTCACATTCTAGGTTTCTAGAATTTTTTTTGTCTGTTAACTCACTGAGGGTTATTTTATTTATTATATATATATATATATATATATATATATGTGTGTGTGTGTGTGCTGTATATGTGTGGGAGTGTGCTGTGTGTGGGTGCTGTGTGAGTGAGGGTGCTGTCTCTCTGAGGGAGCAGTGTCTGTCTGAGGGTACTGTGTGTGTCTGAGGGTGCTGTGTGTGTGTGCCTGAGGGTGCTGTGTGTGTGTGCCTGAGGGTGCTGTGTGTGTGTGCCTGAGGGTGCTGCTGTGTGTGTCTGAGGGTGCTGCGTGTGTGTCTGGGTGCTGCGTGTGTGTCTGGGTGCGGTGTGTCTGGGGGTGCGGTGTGTGTCTGGGTGCTGTGTGTGTCTGGGTGGGCTGTGTGTGTCTGGGGGTGCTGTGTGTGTCTGGGTGGGCTGTGTGTGTCTGGGGGTGCTGTGTGTGTCTGGGTGCTGTGTGTGTCTCGGGGTGCTGTGTGTGTCTGAGGGTGCTGTGTGTGCCTGAGGGTGCTGTGTGTGCCTGAGGGTGTTGTGTGTCTGAGGGTGTTGTGTGTGTCTGGGTGCTGTGTGTGTCTGGGTGCTGTGTGTGTGTCTGAGGGTGCTGTGTGTGTCTGAGGGTGCTGTGTGTGTCTGAGGGTGCTGTGTGTCTGAGGGGGCTGTGTGTCTGAGGGTGCTGCGTGTGTCTGGGTGCTGCGTGTGTGTCTGAGGGTGCTGTGTGTGTCTGAGGGTGCTGCGTGTGTCTGGGTGCTGCGTGTGTGTCTGGGTGCTGCGTGTGTCTGAGGGTGCTGCGTGTGTCTGAGGTGCGTGTGTCTGAGTGCTGCGTGTGTCTGGTGCTGCGTGTGTGTCTGGGTGCTGCGTGTGTGTCTGGGTGCTGCGTGTGTGTCTGGGTGCTGCGTGTGTGTCTGGGTGCTGCGTGTGTGTCTGGGAGCTGTGTGTGTCTGAGGGAGCTGTGTGTGTCTGAGGGTGCTGTGTGTGTCTGAGGGAGCTGTGTGTGTCTGAGGGTGCTGTGTGTGTCTGAGGGTGCTGTGTGTGTCTGAGGGTGCTGTGTGTGTGCTGTGTGTGAGTGTGTGTGAGTGCTTATTTAAATTTAAAAATATATTTTTATATATAATAAAAAAAAGTTATATCCCCCCCCTCCCTTCTTACCTTTAGCCTGGGAGGGGGGGGAACCGTTTTGCCTGGGAGAGCCATGCTGCATTCCCTGGTGGTCCAGTGGTGAGAGTGAACTCTAACCTGCAGGTTAGAGTTCACTCTCACGAGATCTGAGCGTTGCCGTGGTAACCGCGGCAACGCTCAGAATCCCGCGAGAGGACCCGGCGGAGCTGCTGGTTAGAGCTCCGCCGGTCCTCTCTCCTCCCTCCCCAGCCGGCGGCCGCGTGTAACAGTGTCTGTGGGCCGGTGAGGGAGATCTTTGATCTCCCCACCGGCCCATGGAGGCACACAGCAGGGCTGGCGCTCGGGTAGCGCTGGCCCTGCAGGGTCCGGCCGGGGAGATCCCCTGCCGGCCTCGGCCCCACGGCCATCGCGGCCCACCGGGCATTTGCCCGGTGTGCCCGATGGCCAGTCCGGGCCTGCTCACGACCAGTGGTGTATTCTGGTTTTGTAGACTGGGTTGGGAACCACTGCTCTACAGCTATGCAGTTCAATCCCAAAATGCTATGTGATACTCTTTAAATGTGGAGAGCATTATGGGATCTCTCCAAATGCAGCGCTAAAATGAAATTTAAGGTATGTATATATTTACATTATAAAATAGTAGGAAATCAGTAGTGAAAACCAAAGGAAATTTATTATGAAAATAAATAATCGGTATCTAAATATTTACCTAAATCCAACATTTTTTGGATTTACATTGACTCCAGAAGGAAAAAAAGAACATACGTTTAAAATTAACTCCTCATTTTCCTTTACAGCCCTCTCATGTTGGATGATGGTAACTCCGCCCTCCCACTCTCCAAATTCAGCAGACACCTTCCAGTGGATTCCCTCCATGTTCCGTATTATATTCAATCGGTGAGTCCCATTCCTCTCTCCATTTTTAACACATGTATACTAATAAAAATACAGTTTTCATGCTGCAAGACGATTTGCCCATTCTGTAAAAAGTAGGCTTTCTTGTGGCAACATCTCAACGTTAAAAGTCCCCAAACGTTGAATCTTTCTTTTTTTTTTTTTTATAAAAGCTTTATTTCACTAAATATTGTGAACATGAATCATTATATATTTTAGTAGAATATTTGCAAATAACTGATAATTAGCACTGGATAGCAGTCAAGTTGACACGACTTGAAAATCGGTAGAGTCTAAGTAAAGTTATCTTTCAGTTGCCATTGAAATGTTCTTAATAGTCCACCCGTAAAATGTACCGTACAGAATAGCAAACAGCAGACATTATTGACTGAGGAGAACAAAATGGCTGCACCAAGAGGCTGAGATCCAGCACAAGAAAGAAAAGATAATAAATATAAATAAAGGAAGAGGGGGGTGAGCATAATCTTTAATATAGAGGGGGCATAAGGAATGAAAAACCAAAAGAAAAAAAACATGACAAGGCTGTGTTAAGTAAATAATATATTCTAATAAAAGAAATTGATACTGTAGGTCTGGGTATCCTTGCTCATAAGCATGGAAGCTAGCTAAAATGTCTTACAGCAATACTTCATGCACCTTGACCACTTCCCATCAGCCCGTCCTCTGGGGAGGGAAAGTTGGTTAGCGCGCAATCCTTTAGATTTAACACTAAACCCATTGTACAGCGCTGCAGAATTTGTTGGCGTTTTATAAATAATTATAATAATAATATGTGTTTTTATGCATGAGGATTATGAGCTATTGAAAATGTGTATAATAAATAGCCAACTACAACAAATAGTTCCACTAGCCGGATGTTGTAATTGTACGATCTGTCTCACTGTAACCCTTACAGCCATCTGCAGATCCTGCGTCGTCAGTGGGCACTTCTGCTGTCAATGCTGGGCCGATCATATCAGACGTGACAGAGTCTACACCCACTAACACAGGAATTGCACCAGCCACAGCAGATGGAGAAAGGTAATGACATAATCCAGGATGGGATTGTATTTGGACAAAGTCTTTAAAACAAGGAACACTATAACGATAGGAATCCCTAACACTCTGGTGTGCTAATTGCAGATTAGTTTTAGGCCCCCATTTTCATTAAAAACCTGGAGGGGGGAGGGTCTTTTTTGCAGACTCCCTCGGCACTGCTGTCTGTTGCACTTCCCGCAAAGCCATTCTGTTATCTTGCATATTGTCCAATTCAATGCTCTTTAGGGAGGAGTGTTGGGGGCTTATGCGCATGCACGTCAAACACTGTGTGCATCAAAATGCTTCTCATAGTAAAGCACTGAATTCACTGCTTTCTTATGAGCTGCAACATCACGTGACCTAGTTTTACGTGATTGTTGCAGTGGAAGTGCCTCTAGTGGCTGTCAAGATCACAGCCACTACAAGTTGATTTATCCCTTTACATTGCAGTTTCTAAAAACAAAAAGCAACTGCAATGTTTAACATTGCAGGGTTAAAATGACAGGACCTCTGTCCCAGACCACTTCATTGAGTTGAAGTGGTCTGGGTGTTTTTGGTGGTCATTTTAAAAGGCTCTAATTTAATTATAGGCACATCATAATTTATCATTATTGAAGCAGTTTTGGTGTCTAGATAATCACACCTCCCTGCATGTGACTTGCACAGCCTTCCTAAACACTTCCTGTAAAGATTCAGCTAATGTTTATACTTCCTTCATTGCAAATTCTATTTAATTTAAAATGTATTATCCCCTGCACTGTTGAAAGCTTGCTAGACCCCACAGAAGCATTCTGTGAATGATTAAAGTTCACTTTAAAAAGCAGGCAATAAGAACTTTTAAAGTAAGTTACATCTAATTGAAAGTAAAACCATTTTTTTATGCATGGTGTGTGAGTCACTAGGACTGCATAGACAGAAACAAAAGGGATTTAACTCCCACTAAATTGCAGAGATTTGAACAGTGAGACTGCAGGATCATGATCTATATACTAAAACTGCTTCCCTCAGCTAAAGTTGTTTTGGTGACTATAGTGTCCCTTTAACATAGCCATTAGGTGGTTTCTGAATGCCTGATACCTCTGATACCCCTTAAAGGCGTTGAAGCAGCACTGTCACCTCCCTCCCCCCCATACAAATGTGTACTTTATAAATATTGAATCTTTACAAAATACTCATATTGACTCTATTGGAGTTTCACTAAAACTCCAACCTATTTAAGAGATATATTGAGGCAAAGTAGGGACTACAACTACTTTGTCTCAGTGTATTTCCAATGCCTGACAGTTCTAGACACTAAGGGAGTCTCCTGCCATCTTGAAATGTCAATCCCTAAATTCTGCAAAGTCCCAAGATGGCGACAGTGCCACTTTAAGAAGAGCAGGTTAATAAAAATGTTAGCAGAGTTCAATGTTTAGATTCTTGCTAAGCTTCTTCTACTTTATTATTTAAAGTGCAAAGTGTATTTATCACTTTTATGATGGGTCTGAGTAAAATTTGTAAAATTTTGATAATTAGCATGAAAAGTATATGTTTGTTGCTTTTTTTTTTCATGAAGGAGTAAATGCCTTCTACTGATTAAAGAAGAGCCCATTAGTCCAGGAATGAAGGGATCCACGGAGGCGGATATGTCTTTGAGCAATTGCGGTGCTTGCTCAGATCCTCCTGTCCTTCCAGTTGCAATGGTCCAGTCTATATTGGAAGGGAAGGAAAGCTGCAATACCCCACAGCCCTCTGGGTCACAGCAATTGGAGGGACAAGGGCAAAGGAACCCAATGGAAAGGTGAGTAGAAGGATCTGAAGGTGAGAGTCACTACTTTAACAAATACGTCAGACTTTTAATGACCATATTCTGTCTACATTTGTTCATCTTCTCAGGCCTGAGCTCTCGGATACTTTGGATAGCACTGATGTCAGTTTGGAGGGTCTCCAGTTGCTATTGAGAAGTCAACATTACAATTTGGACTCTGCTGCTGTTCTGGATGTGAGTATTCTATCTGCATTAAAATGACTTATAGGTTTATTCTCTAAGTCCTGAGATGCGTTGAGTGAAACCGAGATTCGATTCATCATCAAAATGTAAGCGTTATTATCATGGACATTCCTACAGTCTGACTGTGCTGCTTGGTAGGTGTATGTCCTCAACAATTAACACTTTCTGTAGCTTGTATCAGGACAAATGGACCTGATCTGAGGTGGACGTGTGGAAGACTAACACATGATGTGGAAACATTTTCTACAGAAAGGGAAGTAGCTACATGAAAGAGACTTCCAGTGGAAGGGGTAATAAATAACAACTGAAAGGACTAAATACCCATAAAGCACCTGGCACCATCCTAAAAAAGTAGTCAAACAATGCCTCTGACCTGGTTCCCTCTCCAGATATAACTAAAGCCCCATAATAGAATACCAATTTTGTCTGTATTTTGATGGAATTCTCAGTCAATAAATAGAATGAATTTAGATGTAGGAATTTGCACTTTTTTGATATATTGGATGTGGGAACTGAAGCAGAACCCAGAGGATGCAAGTAAGTGTCAAACAGTTTGAAAGCAGTTACCTTATTGTGGGGTGGAGTCAGAAGACTCCTGGCACTATAACGACTTCAGCATCCTGTTTGGAGTTATGGTTCTTATAAACAAAGTAAAAAAAAAAAAATCAAGCGGTACCATTGTGATTAAAATTGTGTAAATGTAATTGCATTTTATGTAATTGTGAATGCAATTTTTTTTAGATATAATCAATACAAACCATGAAGATGGTTTCATCTTTTATTTATTAATATTGTTTTAGGTGTTCAGTGCTGGTCTATGTGTTAGTGAGTGGAACCTTCCAACGATGGACACGAGCCTATCACCGGTAAGAACATATCCAGTACTGTGTCTGTTTCACATAAACACTTGTAGATGCATGGTATAGCCATTTTTAAAATTCTACAATTAACAAATAACATTTGAAGAGCAAATGTAAGGCAAACATAGCTATAGTCACTGCCTGCTTATTTTGGTCTGAATTTTGTCATTTGGATTTTGCTGGAGTTATGAAATTATTCCTGTTACTTACAGATGTTTTAACTAAACAGTGAATTGAAAACTGAAATTTAAAATTCAGACTAAAATAGCCATGGTGTGACTATACTTGAGCAGGAGAAATTTTCCAAATCAGTTATTTAGGAAATACATTTTGCAGATGGTCATTCACTAAAATTCTCATTTTAGTTATTAACTACCGTAATGTGGAGGCGGATTTAATGATAATTCAAATTATAATTTATGCCTGCTCACCTCTTAGTTCATCTCTGAGAAGGACTTGCACAGGACCAGACCTATAGTGGACTGAACGGCAGTCAGGTTTATGTGGCCAGGGTCATCTCCCCTCTCCCCCCCTTCCATAAAAAAAAAATACAGCTGTATGTTTGAAACTATATTGATTGATTTAAATAAATAAATAAATACTTGTTACTCTCGCAAGCTAAAGTGATTTTGGTGCTTAGAATGACACTTTCATATAGTATAGGTACTATCATTAGTATACACAAGATGTAGTTTCTACATTATCATTGCCTTTTTTTGTTTTCTTTTGTTTTGCAGCAACTTCCAGGAGATTTGGAGAAGAATGTAGCTGAGTTGCCCTCAAAGTGCCTTAATCCATCGTTCAGCTCCTCCTGCCAAGGTAGCCAGATAGAGGAGATAAACGGCAAGTGCGCTAATTTTCAATTGCCAGTTACTCTCCAAATTGTGAATAATTATTATATTTGGACAATATTTCACTTATCATACTGCTAAGATACATTTAAATTGTCCAAATTACTATAATAAGGGCAAGGCAGTCTCTGTGTGCGAAATATAGAAGTAACATCTCCCAGTGTCATCATTTAATGTTAAAGTTGTAACTTGTTGATGTAAAAGAATCAACCTATCACTGTAACACTTATTTAAGACTAATTGTGACTGTCACTGTCATAAATGGCTTTGAATACATAAAAAGTATGGTTTGTGCATGGAATCAATGTGAATGCGTTGAGAATGTATCCCTGTGTGCATATCTCGAGGGCTGCACCGTTCCTGTGGAACTTGCTTCCCTCCTCCGTTAGATGCTCACCCAGTCTCCACTCCTTCAAAAAAATGTTAAAAACCCACTTCTTCATAAAAGCATATCAATTAAACTGTTAATAGCTCCTGACTGATTCCTCTCTTGCAACTGTCACTAGTCTGATAATTCTTTAGCTTTTTGTGTCATTTTACCCCACTCCCTCTAGCATGTAAGCTCATTGAGCAGGGCCCTCAACCCCTCTGTTCCTCTGTGTCCAACTTGTCTGGTTACAACTACATGTCTGTTTGTCCACCCATTGTAAAGCACTGCGGAATTTGATGGCGCTATATAAATAACATAATAATAATAATATCCCTGCGTATTGTGTGTGCATCAATGTGTATCAGAGCTTCTGTGTGCAGACTGTCAGTAGATGTCATTGCTCTTGTATGTGCATAATGCGTTGCTCTTTGGCAGATCCTTCTAGATAATACTGGCTCTTGTAAGGTTATGGTTAGCGTATGACCACATAATACCCATCTGAATCCAGGATAGGCTTTACGGTGAAGAACAAAAGACAGATCATTTTCCTCTTTCTGTTGTCCGTGTATAATATGGTGTAACTTTGGTCAAACTGGAGCATTGTTCCCATGTCATCTTGTAAAGAAAATGCTCATTCCTTTCAGTAATAATTTAAAAACCAGTTTAACATGTCTAACTGCCTTCATATCAGTTAGCTAATCAACATTAGTAATCACTGTCAAGGTTAATTACTAAAGTATAATTGTTGGTAGGTCAAAGGGACTTTCAAAGGCTAGTTTATTATTTGAAATTCACTTTGAAATGACATCAAAAGTTATTCGCTAATTATTGCATTTTGGCATATTAAAACTGAATGGCTACATTCAGGCTAAAGTAATCAAACTGTAATCATAGCTGATTTGCTTGATTTTCCAGATCAACTAGTTTAGCCTGAGTTTTGCTTATTTCCACAACAGCCACTGTGACACCATGCCACTATACAGTATTGGAATCGCAGTAAAATTAAAGCATAGATTGATTGCATAATTCTCCCTAAATTTCTCCAAGGGTTTTACCTGCTTCCTCTGATTATTTTTTAATAGAATGAAGATATGGTTAATATCTCTCAGCTTAGAATAACACTTTCTGGTTAATATCATAGTTCCATGGAAAAAATAATGCAAAATTTGCCAGTATAAAATACTATTAACCTGGCTTTGTTCTGATCCTTACAAGGAATAAGGTTTAAATAAAAGTGGCAACATAACAGGTGTTCAGTTAGTTTAACGGTTCTTAAACTTATTTTTGGCAGTCTCTAATTATGAACATGGCATTAGCTTGGCAAACTACTTTTCAATTGTAAAGTTCCCTGAGTGACCTTTTATCAATTGTACTACAATTAATAGTAATACGTCCTTAATGCACATTTTGTGTACAGTTGAACAAGATCATTATACAGTTAAAAAAAAAATTCATTGACTGCTCTCCAGACTATTACTAGAGAGTAAAATGTTATTTTGGGCCTGGTTTATTAAATTCACATTTTGAAAGAAACGTTGAGTTCACAAAATGTAAAAGTAGATTTGTCAAGTTGTTTCTTGTTTTTTTTTTTTTTTTTGATGAATAAAAATAAATATCCACAGTGACTAAAAACACCTTAAAAAAACAAACAAAAAAACAAGTGCATGCCCCAACAAATTGAGTTGTGTACCTCTATAATAACGCATTGTTTTGTAATCTGTTGACTACTGCCGTCACTGGTCCTTCACCAACATATGTGACATATTAACTATCTTTTTGTAACCCTTTTGATTTAGGAAAAGATTCAGACCTTGAACATTCTGCGTCTTTCCTGTCTGAAGACATTGTGAATCTTACTGGTTCCTCCAGTCTCTTTGCTTCTGATGACGGTGTGGTTTCTTACCTCTCCACGGGGGTCATTCCCGGAGATGCCTCCCTGAGCCTGCAACCTACAGAGGAGAGGGACGAGTGATATATATTTATATAGAGGCTGCCTACTGTAAATGCAGTGCATACAGTGACTTCACATAGGGTGCTGCATGTTTGAAGGGTGAAAATGAACCTCCTGCACTGTATGGTTATATATAGCCTCTTGGAATAGACAGAGCTAGGTGTACCCCATTAATTAATTGGGCAGGGTATCAGAGGTAGGAAAATAGTCAGAACGTAATATTTACACAAGACGGTACTTTCTTTTATAAGTTATATTATCAAAATGTTGATTTGACGTGTGTTTATACAGAACTCCTATATATTGCAGAATGTTCATTTTCAACTGGGGAGTGGGATAACGAGGAGATTATTCACTGAACCGTGTTTTAGCGATTAAACTTCTTTGTGTGTTTACAGAGCACACGCAAAACTGAATGTATGAAAAGAATGGGATTCTGGGACTGCGCAGGTCAGTGTTTAAGCACCAGAGGCCTGTAAAGTTTTGCACATGCGTCATATGTTTCCCTGTCCCCCCCCAAAAAAGAGAATTCATTCTGTACAGACAGCTCATTTTGTGTTCTCATACCGATACACGAGTCACCTCTCCTCCTTTTTCCTTTTGTGGTGATGAATCGCAGAGCTGGCACTGAATGTAAGAATTATATGCTGTGTGTCGTTGAGGATTCTGGGAAAATGCTGGGGGTTTTTTTTGTATTTTTTTTCTTGAAACCAAAGTCAGATACAATTTTTAATTAACAAAGTTGAGCTTTGTTATTTGAGATAGATTTATACACACACACATATTTACATATATATTTAGCTATATGCACATATGTCTTATAGAAGTACATTTATAAATACATAGACACAAACGTACCCAAGACATTAATAGAGATATAAGCAAAAGCATAGTATTTGTATTTAGCATTTGTAAAATTATTAGCCTGTTGAGAACTTTAATTTATTGCAGTATTAAAGTATTTTAATCTCTTTTCCAAGTAACAGTGTATTTTAGTGACATTATAAAACATTTATCTTACATGCCAGATTATGCAGTATGGATTTAAGGGGTTGGCAGGCCACTTCTGTTCACCCACTATCTAGTTCCAGGGGCACATAAGATCATTGGTCCATTTTGGGTTCTTGTTTGGTCTTTGTTTTTATTTTATTTTTATTTAATTTTTACAAATCAAACAAGGGTACTCTTATAATAATTTGATTCCATGGATGGATATATTAGCATTAAAATCAACTGCAAAATTCACATCATGGCTCAGATATAAGTCTATAAATGAAGCCAGTTGAAATAAATAAGCCCACATTGGGTAATGTATAACAATTGTAAGATTGCTATACATGTACTACTATTAACTGCAAATGTGGTAGTACAATTTGTCCCATTGCATAGAGATGCTTTATATTTCTGAACCTTGTTAACTTATGACTGAATTTACACCCCAGACTTTGAATTACCTTTACCGGCACTGAGGCAAGGATATGTTATAACTAAAGTCAAAAGTTTTTATTTTTTTTGAAAATCTGTTTATTGAAGAAAAGAGAGGGTTACAGAAAGAATTCGTCTCGCAGGCCTACTTAGAAGACAAGGGTATTATAGCGATATTTCCATATTTTGAGTCACATTTTTTTGTGCCCACATTACCAAGTCTCCTGACAGGATTTAATTACAGCGATAAGTTACGTAACTAACAGTAGGCGTACATAGGATAACAGAAAGGTAAAGTATGTAGAGTGACAACCGCCGTTGTTTTGGCGTACGTACATATGTATAGTATGTAACATCCTTATTGCTAGTAAGCGGTCTTTTAACATAAAGCGTGGCTCTAAGTCGGGTGCATTCATAAGACACAGTATACCTTGTAGCAGGAGTGCCTAATAATAGGCTGGACATAGTTATCTAGCTCCTGGCATGAAAGAAGCGTAGGTGCTTTGGTCTTAAGGTTAGGCTAGGTTATCCTATGGGTGTGTTCCCATGTCCCGCAGTTCGATGTACCGATAATAGTGCCAGTATTATGTATTCCTTTTTTGGTTTTCTTGACATTATAGTCACCAGAACAATTACAGCTTAATGTAGTTGTTCTGGTGAGTATAGACTATCCCTGTAGGCATTTTCAAATACACACTACCTTTTCAGAGAAAAAGTGATAACATTGCCCCCTAGGGACACCTCCAGTGGCTACTCCTCAGAATGCCACTGAAGGTGCTTCCTGGGGAAGTGCTGCACAGTGTGCATCACTGCCATTCAGTGTATCCACCCTATGCATGAGGACACTAAACTTTACTCAGAGAGTTGCATTGATTCAATGAATCTCTATGAGGAAGTGCTGATTGGCCAAGCTGGGGTTTGGAAACTCCAGTCCCACCTCTTGCCGATTTCATCCTATAGGAAATCTTGGTATTGGCTGAAATCATACCTTCTGATGATGTCAGCAAGGAGACGGAACGGGGCACGGCCACCTCCGGCAGACCCGTGCGGCGCTGGAAATAAGATAAGTTATATTACCTTTTAATATACAAGCCACCTAAATGATGGATTTAACACTAAAGAATCAGGAATACATGTTTGCGTTCCTGACCCTATAGTGTTCCTTTAATTTTAGGCTATAAGTTGTGTTTTATTAGAATATATCCTTTCACATTATCATTTTTAACGTAATTCTTACTTTATCTCATGGTCTCCTTTTTCTGGAATCATTGTTAGTTGACTGTGCTGCTTGGCAAAGGTCTGCCTGAAGCAGTGAGTAATGAAATTAAAGGGACATATGCACTGAAATTTAATAAACATGTTGATCTTTTTCCTGAAATTTGACCCAAGAAGCAGAAGCCCACAATGTTAAATAGTCTCTAAATGTACTTGATGACAAAATTTCATAAAAAATATATTTATTTTTAATGTTAGAATGTTCTTTACTTAGATTACATAATATTTCCCCTCCATAAAATTCAGATAAATGACCATAAACTTACTGGTAATCCAATCTCTGCTGGGCAGTAACGATTCCCTTAATGAGATCATACTGGCTGATATTCGTTCAATTTACATACTTCTAATAGAGGAGTTCTGGACACCTGTCAATCGCTGCACTCAATACAATGCTTCTCAAAAGCATTTCTATGCTAAAGGTGAAGACTTGCAGTTATAGAAAAAAATGCAAAATGAATTGCTTCCCTTAGTAAAAATTGTAAACCGTTTTTCACAAACAGAAGTGCTTACATTTGTCAGACTGTATGTTTAGGAACAGCGTCTATGCACCCAAACTACTACAATAAGATGCAGTGGTTGTGGTACTTAGAGACTCGCTTTTAATGAAAACCATTAAAAATAAATAGACAGATGGATAAAAGGTGCAACATATAGGCACAAATTAATATCTGTTTTAGATTCAAAAATCTTTAACCCCTTAAGGACCAAACTTCTGGAATAAAAGGGAATCATGACATGTCACACATGTCATGTGTCCTTAAGGGGTTAAAACAACAGATCTGTATAAAATGAAATTTATTTCAGAAACTGAATGGTCAAAGGAAAATAAGTGAATTTTTAAGATGAATCTCAGTTAAAGGAGACTACACAGTGCCACCATCTTTGCATTTCTAAGATGATAGCGTCCATAAATTCCATCTTTGGCCTTTGCTTGGGCGTGAGCGTCAAATGACGTTCATGCCCAGGCTTCCACTGAACATGTATTGACTCTCATGATTTCACAAGAGTCAACGTAGAGGATTGTCAACACATAGGATCCTTGACGTAAGACTTCCCGAAAGTAATGCGACACTGGGAGGAGGTGAGTACAGGCTCACCAGCCAATGTCAAAGACTTGACTAAAACTCCACCCGTTGTCAACTTTTGTCAACCTGCAGGTTATACATAAAGAAAAGTAATCAAAAACAGTGCAGCAGAAGCATTCATATTTGACATACCCATGGGGGGGAAAATAACAGAGACACTTTAAACAAATATAGAAAATATAACAATTGGGATCACAATCCAATTTAGTCCTGGCACAGCGAGGGCACATACCTGATTGAAGGTGGATAAAAACAGGGGGAATAAACCAAAGTGCTGTGTTCTGAAAAGTTTGACAATCACTGTAGAACCAGCAAACAAGCACCCTGTTTCAGAACATAATACTTTTTGATTTATCTCCAACACTATCCTCCTTCACGTCCTGTGTTCAATAAGACAAAAGTGGTCGAGCCTGTAACAGGGAGTCAAGATGTCTAGAATAGTCTAGAATAGAGGTAAATAGGCAGTGTTGAATTTTACATTTTATTTTTCATACTTCACAAATGCATGTTTGTTAAATATTGAGGATAAGTAAATAAAGCATTAGAAATCTTGGAAGTGATAGTTACCCTTTACAGAGACACTGTAGGCACTATAACGGCCTCATCTCATTGAAATGGTCTGCATCACTGGCCTTCTACTTGGCATTAAAGCATTTTTATTTTTTTTTAATGCTAAATTTGAGTCCCCAGCACCGTAACCCTCTGTGTTCGGACTAATTAGGAAGCAAAGTAACCAGCTGTCCCATATCAGATGATTGTTCCCTTTTTGAGGCCTTTGGACCTTTGGAGACTATGTGTTCTTATGAATGTTTTCCTAATGCTTACTACTTGTTTATATTGAATTGTTACATAGATTTAAACACAACACAAATCATAGGAATTGTTAACTGAAATAATGCCAACGTAACTTGCCACGTTGCAGCCTGTCAAGTAACCATACTATTGAAAATGAAAAATATTTGAAAAACTGAATAAAAACTTTTTCAAATGAGAAAAAAAAAATTAGATTGTGAGCTCTTGTGGGCAGAGTGGGGTAGTGCCATTTTGCTATACAAATTCAGTCCTTTACTGGTCACTTCTCAAACGTTAATACATTTTCCATCATTATTATTAAGTAAAGATTTTATTAAAACACAATGAATGTAAAACAGCTTGTACTTATGATTATTAATGTACAATGTTTACCAAGGCTCTGAACGAGTCCCTCTGGCAATCTCTCCTCTGTGAACTGCAACTCCAATCATGCTGAGTTCTCTGAGATTCTGTCTAAAACATGTCTTAATCTGCAAGAGCTGGAGGTGTTCTCTTGAAGGGTTTTAGCTTTCTGAGTGTCAGAGATCTATATTTATGCCATATAAATCACGTGAAGGATTTATGCCCACAGTCCTCTAATTAAACAACATGCTTTTATAGGAAGGTCATTATGTGTATTAGACTAAAGAATACTTTTCGAACATCTATCACGAAGCCTACCACATGGCCACAGTAGAATGGTAGAATTTGTTTGTGTTCAAACAGATAACAATGTTCAGGGTGACTGTACAGCTTTGAGGTGAAGTGCTGTAAAAACAATTTCAAATTGTTGAATAATTAATCACAACAAATCTAGTTCACAGGCATCGGCAGTGTGGATTAATCCTTCACTGCTTTATTATATAAAGACACATTATATCTTACTACAATTGTTACATTGTAACTCCCCCTTCCCAGGCCCTGTAGATCAGCTATACACAATCAGAGAATTAGACCATCCTTTAACCTTGCATGTATTGACTGACAAATATATATATAACCCTTAACTGTGCTTTAAAACTATATATAGGCCATTGTAACCCAAAAATGCAAACACCCCTTGACTAGAAGCTATTTATGCACTGTGTGTGACATTGCCTGCTTGTTAAAGGCCATGTAGCAAAAAAGGGACTGCTCCCCTGGTTCCCACACTGTACCAGTGACGGAGAACTTCTCCAGATAGGTGCTCCAGAACAAGGGGCTGGCATGTCCTAATCTATATTTTCAATGCAAAAGAAGGTCCAGGCAATCAAAAATCTTTTTTTTGTATGTGTGCAGACGTTATTAGGAACTGCAGGTTGGCTGAAACGTTGTCACCAGCAGTTCCTAAATTTTTGGAGTACCTGGATTTTCATCCATTTTACTTGTTAGAGGCCATCCATCTTTGTTCTACATCTTAATAGATGTCTAAGTCAGGCATCTTAAAACCTGAAATTTGCTGAGAGTTGCAATGGAATTAAATTTATTTCTCAATTTTTGTAAATAGACCAGTCAACATTTTAATTATTACAGATATGCCATAACTATCTGACAACTTAAAATGCATTATTACTATGGCTTTACACACAATGTGACTGGACTTGGCTGCCATTAATACACAGTGGTTATGGTAGTATTTACATAGCTACGTTACCCTATAATACGCTGGCTGCCTGCAACTGTTTATGACTCTATTAGGTGGATCATAACTGCCTGACATGTTCATATACATTGTAACTTTGCCTGACTTCATAATACACACAGATATGTTTGCTCAACTTGAATCTGATGCACTGATGAGACATATTTGCACTATGCTGTAAATTTGTATAGTTTTACAAATACCCCAAATTCAATAAAACATTTTTTTTCTCACCGATTTTGTCTGTGTCACCTTCTTTTCTAGCATTTAGTTTCCACCATTGACGGTTATAGTTATATAGACTGTAAGCTTGTTTGAGCAGGGACCTCTTCAACCTATCGTTCCTGTAAGTTTTCTTGTAGTTGTTCTATTTATAATTAAATCCCCCGACTCATAATATTGTAAAGTGCTATGGAATCTGTTGGCGCTATATAAATGGCGATGTTAATAATAATAATGTATTCAGGGCCGGATTAAAATAGGGGCTGATGGAGCTGCAGCTCCAGGCCCATACCCATGGAATAGGCCCATTTAAAAAAAAAAAAAAAAAATGACAATTTTTTTTTTGTTTACACACTACTCTTAGATTTGCCACCTGCCTGATATTTTAAGGCACAGCCAGTATTTGAGGCTGCCTGGCCGTGCCAATACCGGCAATACAAATGCAAATATTTTACTCAGTATAAACGGAGATTACTCTGCAATACCCGCACCGGCCAGTAGGGGTCACTGTGTATGGAGAGAGGCAGGGATAGGAAGTTACAGCATCTGCCTCTCTCTAATCACTGATGGGCAGGGGAGCAGCTACACAGCACAGAGAGTCCAAACAGCAGCTCCCAGCCTGCAGAGACAGACTACAGCCCAGGTATGTGAAGGAGGGGTGGGGGAGGCAGCAGCGAGACATAGGGACACTGAGACACATGGGGACACTGAGACACTAGGGGACACTGGGAGACGTGGGGACACAGACACTTGTGGACACTGGGAAACATGGGGAAACTGAACCACTAGGGCACACTGTGAGACATGAGGATGCTGAGACACATGGGGACACTGTGAGACATAGGTAGACACATTGGGACACAGAGACACTAGGGACACAGTGTCTCCATGTCTCCCAGTTTCCCCATGTCTCCCTGCCAGTGTCCCTAGTGTCTCAGTGTCCCCATGTCTCCCAGTGTCTGTGTCCCTATGTCTATGTGTCCCTAGTGTCCCCATGTCTCCCAGTGTCCCCAAATGTCTCAGTGTCCCCATGTCTCCCAGTGCCCCATGTCTATGTCCCAATGTCTCCCAGTGTCCCCAAGTGTCTGTGTCCCCATACCTCTCAGCCAGTGTCCCTAGTGCCTCAGTGTCTCCATGTCTCTCAGTGTCCCCAGACTCCCAGTGTTTGTGTTCCCATGTCTCTCAGTGTCCCTAGTGTCTTAGTTTCCCCAAATGTCTGTGTCCCCATGTCTCCCAGTGTCTGTGTCCCCATGTCTCTGTCTCCTTAGTTTCTGTGACCCCATTTCTCTTAGTGTCCCCATGTCTCCCAGTGTCCCCATGTCTTTATCCACAAGTGCCCCCATGTCTCCCAGTGTCCCCAAGTGTCTCAGAGCCCCCATGTCTCCCAGTGTCCCCAAATGTCTCAGTGTCCACGAGTCTCTCAGTGTCCCCATGTCTCACTGTGTCCTCATGTCTCTCAGTGTCCCCTAGTATCCTAGTGACACGGGACACACTGAGACATGGGGACACTGGGAGAAATGGGGACACAGACAATGGGAGACTAGGGGACTGGGCGACATGTGGACACTGATGCCAGGCTGGCCTTCCAATTCTTTGGACAGACATGCCCCCTTTTTGGGCATTTTCGCCCCTTTTGGCAGTTCTGGTCACTTGATTCGCATCAGTGGCACACCCTTTTACCCTGCCCATTGACTTCCTGCTTCACTGGACACTGCTTTTAGGGGGTATGGATTTACTTGAAAAATGAAAGCATAAATTAGATAAAGAGATTAGCATAGAGTATGTGTTTTCTTATAGCTTCATTCTTTGAGTTTCCCTCCAACACCAACTCCATCAGATACATGACGCTTGAGAGGTATGACTGTTTTAGTGGTTTTGGTCGATAAAATTCTGTAGTTAGGCCCCATCATAATTGTCAGCACCAGGCCCACCGGGCTCTTAATCTGGCAGTGTATTTCTACGCACTGCACACAGCTATAGCCCGATGTCATGTTTATGGATTAGGCCCTTAAATCCTGCACTGTATCATTCTAAATCTGACATATTAAATTGTATTAATATACAAAATAAGCCCTGCGTTCAAACTCCCACTACAGCAACGACCAAAGTACACATCAGCCCCAATACATACAATAAAAAACAAAGAAAAAAGTTACTTGCGCACCATCCCAAATCCCTACGTACATTTAAATAACTGGAGGCTTTTAGTATCACCCAGTGGCCACATGAGTGTAAGCTCACTTGCCAAGGCAAACCTCTTAGGTGAGCCTACACTAACAATTCAACTTGCTTCTCTCAGCTTCAGGTAAGAATATCTCTAATGAGACAGAAAGAGGTATTATTCTTGGGACTCGGGATAGCATTTG